ATGATCTCACTTGTATGTGGGGAATCTGAAAAAGCTGATCTTACAGAAGTAGAGAATAGAACAGTGGTTAACAGAGGCTGGGGAAAAGAAGGCAGGAGGGAAGGACGGGGAGAGGTTGGTCAACAGGTACAAAGTTACAGTTAGATAGCAGGAATAAGTTCTGGTGTTCTATTACATAATAGGGTGACTACGGTCAATAATAATATATTGTATACTTCAAAATAGCTAGAAGAGGGGATTTTGAATGTTCTCACCACAAAGAAATGATGAATCTTTGAGGTGATAGATATGCTAATTGCCCTGATTGATCATTACACAATGTATTTATGTATCAAAACATCACACTTTACCCCAGAAAAATGGACAATTACATGTCAATTAAAATAAAACTTTAAAAATAGCTATTTCTATATTTTACCTTGAATATATTTAGTTAAGAAGCGCAAATTCTCTGCCAATAGTAATTACTTCTATGGCATAGGTTGGGGTTAAAAAAAGAGGGGGAGCACTTTCACTTTTTACATTTCTGAATTTGAAGTTTGTTTGTTTGTTTTGTTTTGTTTTGTTTTGTTTTGTTTTTTTGAGACGGAGTCTCGCTCTGTTGCCCAGGCTGGAGTGCGGTGGCCGGATCTCAGCTCACTGCAAGCTCCGCCTCCCGGGTTCGGGCCATTCTCCTGTCTCAGCCTCCTGTAGCTGGGACTACAGGCGCCCGCCACCTCGCCCGGCTAGTTTTTTTTTTTTGTATTTTTTAGTAGAGACGGGGTTTCACCGTGTTAGCCAGGATGGTCTCGATCTCCTGACCTAGTGATCCGCCCGTCTCGGCCTCCCAAAGTGCTGGGATTATTATTCCACTAAGCATTTGTTATGTTTGCAATTTAAAAACAAAATAAAATATTCTGCTTCTATTTACAAATTTGGTTTTAAAATTTCACAGGGCCATTTTGCCTGGTTATCTGGATATCTGAAATTCTTATTCAGATTTATCTCATTCGATGTCAAGGGAAACACTGATTCTAGAATTTTCTGGATATGTTTATATTTGTTTGGATACTTCTCATAAATCATATACTGGGGTTCAGTTTTCATATAAGATTAGAATACTTAGGCCGAGTCTTCTGTTACTACACTGTGATTTTCCTTGTCTCTTTCCAAACATAGGTTCCCACAATTGCAGACAAACTCTTTGATGGGACATAAACCAGCATAACAGGTTTCAACAACTTTCTTCAATACAAAGCTTTTGTCTCCTCGCTTATTTCAAAACCTAATACCAGCCTCTTTTAAGGAATTTTTCCAGACCAAAGGTTGATGACTGACAATAAAGGCAAAGCATTCCCACTTAATTTTACCCAACACATCAGGCCCTAAAAGCCGGGGGTGGGAACAGGGAGAAAAACTAATAGACAAATATAATAATAACTACTTCATGTAGAAACAACTGACTTATCCATAATCAAATCCCACATCTGCCTTAGAAAAACCCTGGTAGATTGTTGGCCTTTTTTTCAGTTGTAAGACTCTCTTACTAATTTTTACAGCAAATCCTTTTAGCAGATGTCTGGTAACGTGATCAGTATTTGGGTTTAAGAAGATGACGACAACCTTTTGAGATCCTGTCACCACATTGTTACATCATGTGTAATAAAACCAATAATACTGACATTTTCCCCTTAAGGTATTAACTCTCATCTACCTGAAGATAACCAAGATAATCTCTTGAGGTCCTCACTAACACTATTTTTCCTTGATTCTATTTAATCAACATCTTCACAGGTGTTTGAGTAGTAGATATAAAAATTAGTGAATTGGGCAGGCGCGGTGGCTCACGCCCGTAATCCCAGCACTTTGGGAGGCTGAGGCGGGTGGATCACGAGGTGAGGAGATCGAGATCGAGACCATCCTGGCTAACAAGGTGAAACCATCTCTACCAAAAAAAATACAAAAAAAAAGAAAAAAAATTAGCTGGGCATGGTGGCGGGCACCTGTAGTCCCAGCTACTCAGGAGGCTGAGGCAGGAGAATGGCGAGAACCCAGGAGGCGGAGCTCGCAGTGAGCCGAGATCGCACCACTGTACTCCAGCCTGGGCAAGACAGCGAGACTCTGTCTCAAAAAAAAAAAAAAAATTAGTGAACTGGTTAGGCTGGGCGCAATGGCTCAGGCCTGTGACCCCAGCACTTGAGAGGCTGATGCGGGTGGATCACTTGAGCTCAGGAATTTGAGACTAGCTGGGCAACATGGCAAAACCCCATCTCTATAAAAAATACAAAACAAATTAGCCTGGCGTGGTGGCACGCACCTGCAGTCACAGCTACTCAGGAGGCTGAGGTGGGAGGATCACCTGAGTCCAGGGAGGTTGAGGCTGCAGTGAGCCATGATCATGGCACTGCACTCCAGCCTGGGTAACAGAGTGAGAACTGATCTCAAAAAAAAAAAAAAAAATAGTGAATTAGTGCCTCAAAAGGAAAAAAAAAATCATTTAATGTATTTCTAGCCTATAGATAGTAACTGGGCTAGTGCTGCAACTTGGCCTGGTGCTTCAGCTTGTTCATATCATGACACACTTGCAAATTAATGCATTTGTCTGACACACTAGGTTAAGCGGATGAAGCTGTTTGGGGCTAGAATTTACTAGCCGGACATGAGAAGACAGGTGCTCAGGAAGTCTCAGGCCCCACTTGGCTATCTTACCCTAGGGCTGAGGGGCTCAGCATCTTGAAGCTAACAAGTAGCTCATTCTCGGCACACTGGTTCAGAAGTTTAGTCTAGCCCACCAGTACTCTGAGTATTTGCCCCATAAAGCAAGCAGGTAACCAACACCAAATTCAGACAAATCTGCTGGACTGTTTTCCCAAAGAGTCAATTAGTTACTGGCGATCATCATCAAACTATCAGATTTAAAGTGTGTGTGTGTGTGTGTATGTTTGCATGGCGGTGGGGGGTGTTCTGGGTGAATTCTACCCTCTCTTTCAGCTCCCACTCTCACTTAGGAAGGACTTCTCTTTAGCATCAAATTAAGAGAAAGTGCTATGAAGCATAAAAGATGTAATAGACACAGATTCTGCCCTCAAGGAAACCTCTGTCCTTGGAGATGAAAGAGACATTTACATAAATATGTACTTGTTGAATGAATAAAAAAATTTGCAGAATCAGGTTAAAAGTGACACTTTTCAGAAAAAAGAGGTATAAAAAATTGCAGTGGAAATGGGGCAGGAAAAGTTTCCCTCTGGATAGGTTAAAGAAGTCATAGGAGAGAAAAGCACTGATACCAACTTTTTTTTTTGGAAACAGGGTCTTGCTCTGTCACCCAGGCTGGAGTGCTCAACAAATCTTCCTGCCTCAGCCTCCCCAGCAGCTGGGACCACAGGTCCCAGGGTCTCTACACCTGGTGGCAGAGACAGGGTCTCACTATGTTGTCCTGGTCAGTTCTCAAATTCCTGGGCTAAAACAATCCTCCTACCTCAGCCTCCCAAAGTGCTGGGATTAGAGACGTGAGCCAACATGCCCAGGCCCATACCAACATATTGAAAGGAGCCTCTATGGCACTCAAGTATCCACCCAAAAGAAAGGAAGTAAAATATCTGACCATTTAAAATTTACAGTTTGTAAGCAAAACCCTGCTTTACAAAAAGGTGGGGTTGGGGGCAATGGGAAAATGAAGGTTGGAATTATAATTAAAATGCAATTTTACAAAAGTTATGTAGAGGGGTTTTTTGCTTTTTTTACCCCTCATTGCATCAGATCATCGAAAGCCTAAGTAATGTTACCCCCTTTAAAACAACCCACTTCGCCTACAGAAAAGCGATTCTGGATCACTTACCCGTTCCTGCCATCACCCTTCAGTTGTCAGCTTAGACATTTTCTTTCCCAAAGGAAGCTTTGGCCTATTACCAATGTCAGGAGTTTAGTAAGTGGTGTGGTATCCCACAGAATCCTATAACCTGCTTTGGTGAAGTCTGTTTCCATTTTACCCAATCAACGGGTCTGAAAATAGCTGGCCCTTTTGCGGCTCTGAATTCCACTAAATGCTTGAGAAATTCACATGGTCACTCTCTGCTCCTGAAGCTGACAGGGCCTAAAAGTCATTGTTGGGAAGCTGGGCCAGGGCAACCCCATCTCTTCTTGAAAGAAAAATGTCCTATAGTCATTCCTATCTGTCACCAGTGAGTAAGGAGCCTCTGCCTCTCAGCGTCCTCAGACAGGGGATGAGAGTAAAATAAAAGAAATCCTGCTCTGAAAAATACTTTAACTAGAGGTACACTGTGGAAAATCATAGTTCTGACAATAGTATTAAATTATCACACAAAAAGATCAATTATCCCAAAGACAGGCATTTAAAAAACCGAAGTCTAGAAAGTTGCCCTCCTGTGTGTACCTGTTTATGTATTATTACTGGGACTGCAATGATGTGGCTTTGAAGAACTTTGCCAAGCATTTTTTCATCAATCTCATGAGGAGAGGCAACAAGCTGAGAAACCGATGAAGCAGAAGAACCAACAAGGTGGCAGAATCTTCCTTCAGGGTACTAAGATGCCAGACTGTGACATCTGGCAGAGTGTGCTGAACGCAATGGAGTGTGTGTGACCCTTGGAAAAAAGCAAGAATCTGACTCTACTGGAACTGTGCAAACTGGCCACTGACAAAAACGATCCCCACTTGTGTGACTTCAGGGAGATGCGCTGCTGGAATGATGAAGTGAAATCCATCAAAGAATTGGGTGACCATGTAACCTACTTATGCAAGATGGGGGCCCCTGAATCTGGTATCTTCTGGCCAAGCACAGTCTGGGAGACAGTGATGACAAGAGCTAAGCCTTAGGTTGGCTTCCCCATAACCACAGGGTGACGTCCCCAGTCACCAAAGCAGTGCCTACAGGTAGGGGTTAATTTTACCCATTGTATAAATTGTAGAAAAACTTCCACTTGAATTCTTTCATTTGTATTATTCCTTAACATAAAATAATTCAGTACCCCCAAAGAACAAAATAAAACTGTGAGTGCTACCTGCCATCAAAGAAGAAGAACTTCCCCCGTCCGTTCTTTTCTCCATGAACAAAGTTCCCCTCAAATCTGTCTGTGGAGGAGTAGGTGACTGTGCAGAACCCGTGTGGTAATCCGTCGTCATCCAGGTGTCCTGGAGAAAGGGAACCACAAGGCAAACTTTAACATCGTCAGTGCTCCTCCCATCTGACGTCTAAGCATTCACATGCTGCAAGACAAGTCCCCTGCCCAACTCTCCTCCAGCTGCCAAAGGGTCCCCTCCCTGGCACGAAAGGACAGTCAGCGTGCAAAGGTTTCTCACCTCATCGGCACCAGCAGTACCAAACTGATTGTTACGTACACTTTGTGAACTGATAGGTCCAGAACAGACTTAGACACATTCCAGAATATGAATTTTAAATAAGCTTGCTTTTTACCTGGAACTGAGAGTCATTATCAGTAATATCCTCTGCAGGGCATGTCACAATTTACCAAGTACTCTCCAGAGAGTCCTCATATTTGGAATTGATACCTCCAATCTCTCATGCTTAACTGAAGTGTGGTTGAGATTCCACTGTTTTATAGTCAATTGCCACATACGCAGTCATTGGAATAAATTATCTAATTCTAGAACATTAAGTATGCAATATGATTTTATATATCATTCTATAATATGATGTGGAGGACTGCTAGCCAGTCTGAAAATCTCACTGTTATTGTTATATTCACACGAAGGACACAGTCATATCTTTAAAACTGCCCTAAGAGTTATACAGCTCATTGTACAAACACAGAAACCTGGAGTCCTTCTCACCTTAAACTTGAGCTTAACCTTAAACCTACTGCTTTACTTTACAAAATCTTCAGCTTTGAATGTTTAGTAATAACCTTATCATATACCTTCCACCATTGTGTGTCAGAGGGCTTGTATTTTAAATGGAGCCAGAGTATACACATGGTCATTTAAGCAATGATTGTGATTATCAGCAGAAGTTATTACATGGACCTTTAAGTCACTGGTTCTTCCTAGGTCAAAGATTGGTATAGTTTAATATTGACATTTACAGTCAATGTTTACACTTTTTATTACTATCTACATGTTTTACAAAACCCAGGAATCACCTTATTGGTGTCTTCCCAATCATTCTGGTGAGCTGATTTTGCAGAGGTGGGTGAAAATGAAGGCAGTAGTTATTCTACTGGCTTTTTCTTGGGGTAACAACCTGGGCCATGGAGAGAAAAGGCATGAAAACATTAAACACTGTGTCTAATGCAGGGACATTAAACATTGAAATGTAGCTTCCAGATGGCTCACAGACATAAAAGGAAACACAAACCATACTACCACAATGAAATATTTAGTCTCCTAAAATAATTTATTCTAACATGATAAAGCAATATTAGCCCTTGGAAAAGATGGTAAGTACACACTCTCATAAAGAATAAATATGCGGCCAGCTGTGGTGGCTCACGCCTATAATCCCAGCACTTTGGGAGGCTGAGGCAGGTGGATTACCTGAGGTCCGGAGTTTGAGACCAGCCTGGCCAACACAGTGAAACCCCATCTCTACTAAAAATACAAAAAATCAGCCAGGCATGGTGGCAGTCGTCTGTAATCCCAGCTACTCAGGAGGCTGAGGCAGGATAATCGCTTGAACCCAGGAAGCAGAGGTTGCAGTGAGCCAAGATTGTGCCACTGCACTCCAGCCTCGGCAACAAGAGCGAAACTCCATCTCAACAACAACAACAAAAAGAATAAATATGCTTTTTATTTGTATTATTAATTACATAAACAAAATAGCTGCAAACAAATACAGTGTTTTATTGCTACATCTGACTCTGTATATAATGGGTTACCAAGATCTTACAATAAGACACATCTACTTAAACAAATCATAATCAGTATGGATCCCTTCCTTTTAACACAAAAGAGGAAAGGACCAGGAAATTAATGGTCAGAATGGAACTAGGCCATAATTGCTTTCCTCTCGCTCAAAAACGAACTGTACATGACATAAATTCAATGACATTTGAGTCATATGAAATCACTTGGACAATTATTTTCTAAATATCTGATGCCATTTCTCTCATTGAAATAAAGTAAATTTACTTTTCTCTTTTCATTAAAAAAAGCCACTCAGTGTATTGCTAAGAGCTTTTTTTTTAGTGAAATGTTGTTGCAATCAAGTTAAATTTAGGCATATAAATTCAGTGTCCTACTTTTGATTTAGGTATTAATATCCAAATAATCAGTTTAGCCTCATACTAGAGCATTTATTAACTTGTTGAAAATGCTTTCATCATAGAAAACAGTTCACATATTTCAGAGTTTTAAAAGCTTATGTTTGATAAAATTTGTTATTCCACTTTAGATTGAGAGAATTACCATAAATCTGAACACTAAGGAAAAAGTTTCCAATATAATTAATTTCTACCTTCCTTCAGCCCTGTCCTATTTCTGAATAAAACACTGAAGGTTCACCCTCAGCAATGGAATTTAGATATTAGGGAAAATTGAAAGTGTCATATAACATACTACAAGCCCTTGGAGGATAGTACTGATCCCAGTTGAGACGACAACAAAAATGTCAACTCCACTCCATGAAGAATCCTTCCTTCCTTCCTTCCTTCCTTCCTTCCTTCCTTCCTTCCTTCCTTCCTTCCCTCCCTCCCTCCTTCCTTCCTTCTTCCTTGCCTCCCTCCCTCCTTCCCTCCTTTTCTTCCTTTCTTACCTCACTCCCTCCTTCCCTCTTTCTCTTCCTCTTTCCTTTATTTTTCAGAGACAGGGTCTCACTCTGTTACTTAGGCTGGAGTGCAGTGATGAGACCATAGCTTACTGTAACCTCAAACTTGTAGGCTCAAGTGATCCTTCTGCCTCAGCCTTCCATGTAGCTGGGACTTTAGGTAGACATCACCACAACCGGCTAATTTTTTTTTTTTTTTTTTTGAGACAGAGTTTCACTCTTTTTGCCCAGGCTGGAGTGCAATGGTGCCATCTTGGCTCACTGCAACCTCCGCCTCCCAGGTGCTAGCAATTGTCCTGCCTCAGCCTCCCTAGTAGCTGGGATTACAGGCACCTGCCACCATGCCCAGCTAATTTTTTTGTATTTTTAGTAGAGACGAGGTTTCACTATGTTGGCCAGGCTGGTCTCAAACTTCTGACCTCAGGTGATCCACCCGCCTCAGCCTCGCAAATGGCTAATTAAAAAATTTTTTTATAGAGACAGGGTCTCACTGTGTTGCCCAGGCTGGTCTCAAACTCCTGAGCTCAAGTGATACACCCACTTTGGGTGCTGGGATTACAGGCAAGAGCCACCACACCTGGCCTCAATGCCTTTCAACAGGCAAATGAAGAGGAGCCCTATCACCATCTTAATCTCTTGGGAGAGACAAGGACAGGGGAGAGCTACCAAATGATGGCCATTACTCTGGTGACCTTGCACATTAAGGAGGTGCTTGGACGTGCGACCTCTCCCTGTCATTCTAAAGGCTTTTAGATTGCTGGTTGTGAGACAGTTCTGAAATCTATTAGATGACAGCAGGAGCCCCTTCCTGGTTTGTTTTATTTTCTTTACATCCTTAGGGTGTGATCAATTAAAGGAACTAGAGATTAAGGGTTGTGATCATTCAAGACTTCCACTCTGAATATTTAGCATCCTGGAGTAGTTTTCCTAGCAGTAGAACTTTATATCTAAAAGAGCAGCCACAACCAAAACAATAACAGAGACTTTCCATGAGAAAGAGAAGAGACTGGGTTGCAGTGCTCTTACATCTTCTTTCAACATTAGTGCTAGAACAGAGTCTGACAATAACTCTTTTTCAAATGCCAGTAAGATCACATAATATTTGGACAATATTTTGTCATGTCAGTAAGTCAATTTAAAATGCACAGGTTCTGATAAACAGAGGAGGATAAAAAGTGTATGAATCTACTATGATCTGGCATTGGGTAATATGCTTTCCTGTTATCAAATGCAAGCCTCAAAACAGTCTCCCATATTCTCATCTTACAGATAAAGACACCAATGCTTTATAAGACTTGCCCAAGTGCCGGGCGCGGTGGCTCAAGCCTGTAATCCCAGCACTTTGGGAGGCCAAGACGGGCGGATCGCAAGGTCAGGAGATCGAGACCATCCCGGCTAACACGGTGAAACCCCGTCTCTACTAAAAAATACAAAAAACTAGCCAGGTGAGGTGGCGGGCCTGTAGTCCCAGCTACTCGGGAGGCTGAGGCAGGAGAACGGCGTGAACCCAGGAGGCGGAGCTTGCAGTGAGCTGAGATCCCGCCACTGCACTCCAGCCTGGGCGACAGAGCGAGACTCCGTCTCAAAAAAAAAAAAAAAAAAAAAAAAAGACTTGCCCAAGAGACATCACCACTTTGAGTGTGCTGATGAATACTGAAAGCCCCTTCTCCAAATCCTTTAATTGCCATTCTAGACACTGGCAAACTAGTTGAACACACTCTTCCTTGGTGATGGTAAGAAGGTACCTCTGAAAAGGTAGGAACCCCCAGGTCCCCGGCAGGGAAGTGGAAGAAGGATTTGTGATGAAGATCATTCAACCACCAGATTTCCAACAGCATATCCCGGTTGCAAAGTCTTATCTCTTCCAAGTGTTATCTAACTTGAAGGGAAACACTAGTCCTCCTTGCTCTGCATGAGGTCAATTTGTAAAATGCGCCAAGTCAGCCAACAGCCTTCCAGGCGAGTTCCCACTGAACACAGGCTGAATACCAGTCCCAAGCAACAGGGAAAATTAACTTGAATGACTGCTCTGTGTTTATAAGGTTGCCCAAGCTAATGTTCTGTGTTATCTGTCTGTAGCATGATTTTAAATATTTACAGAAGTTAGAGAAAGGAAAAAAAGTATCAGTTCACAAGTCTACTTTTTCACTTTGTTCTATGATTATTATCTATTGAACAGATAGAAAGTTACAATTTTCCCCTCTAGTTACTTCTGAGGGAGCTTCTTCCTGAATCTGATAAGAGTCAGGCCTATATTCTAAGCAGCAATGTACATCTCAATCTCAGCAAAGTAAATTCCCTCTGGATCAGACACCCAGCTGCTTAATGTCTCAGGCTTACTCACAAGAGATCTGAGAGTGGTGTGCGAGTAATTCCTTTAGAACCAGAGACCCTACATACATACCGTTGGTTTTGTAGACTAGAACATTGCTTTAAAAAACCAACAAGAATAGGCTGGGGCGCCGTGGTTCATGTCTGTAATCCCAGCACTTTGGGAAGCCAAGGTGGATCTCTTGAGCCCAGGAGACCAGTCTGGGCAATACAGTGAGACCCCATCTCATTAAATAAATACATACATAAATTGAAAAACAAAAAACAACAATAATAAAAGGCAAGCTTATTCTGTTTAATGCAAAGAACATGCCCTCCTTGTGATGCATTCAATCACTGACTCTTAAAAACATAGCTTGACGTTTTGGTCTTTTAAAATTTTTTTTATTTTTTTAGGTTTTTCAAAAAATTATTTCAACTTTTATTTTAGATTCGGGGTTATATATGCAAGTTTGGATAATTTTATTTTTAAGGGTAATTGTTGTCAAGAGTTCAACTATTAGTTGTGAGGGTCATAATTTTAATATGTGGCCCACACAGAAAGGGTGCTACAATACACTTCATATGCATTTTTTCCTAGATACAGGGCATGAGCTGTCTTAGTAGAGACATGCAGAATCTGATATTAGGGGGAGTGTTAATAAAAAACAATCTTAATATTTTGAGGGGGTTGTGGCAGTGGAACACTGAGCTGCTTGTTTTCATTCTGGTCCCTTGTTCTGATATTTCCCCCTTTTGATCATTCTTCCTCCATGTCTCCTACACATTTCCAGGCCCTTCTGTTTTTCCTGCCCTCATAACTGCGCATCTGGACCACTGCAAAGAGATTTCAAGGTACCCCACCTGCTGTGTCAGTCCCTCTGACTGTCCTGCTGGCCACTGCCTGTTAATCTTCCCGGAGTGGAGTCCTGATCCTGTCATTCCCTTTTTTAAAGAGCCCCCACGGCTTCCATGGCTTCCAGCACACAGTCCATGCTCTCAGCCTGTGATCCAGCCTCCCTTCCCTGTCTTCCCCTTCACTTTTCTCCTTGTAAGCTCCCTGTTGCAGTGAAACCGAATGACTGTTCTCTGGGTGCACCCGCAGAATTCCATGCCTCCGTGTCTTCACTCACAAAGTTCCCCTCGCAACCTGACTCAGCTCTTCGGCACCTCTTCTGGAAAATCTTTCCGCTTTGACTTCCCTAAGCTGAACTAATTTTTACTTCCTCTCAACCGTCACCATTCATCTGTATAGCTATTTTTCTTTGAAATTATATTAGAGACCACATCATATTCATCTTTGTATCTATGGGTAGACAAAGAAATAGATGCTATAATAAAATTCTGTTCCCAGATGCCCAGAGGAATAACACTGGAAAACTAAACATCACTCTTCACTGAACCAGTGTGTCTCAAAGTGTTTTCCAAAAGCCACAGCAGAGCTCAGGTGGAGCTCTGAGGCCCTCTGAGGCTCTCTGAGGCCCAGGGCTTGCTGTCTTCTCACAAGAGCACAGCCAACACAGTACACAGAACACTCTCTTGACACAGCCTCCGCCACTCCCCTCACCTCAGGGATTTGTCCACCCTGAGTTCAGAACTTCCCCAGAGTTACAATCATATCCTGAAAGAGAACTAAATGCACATGATATATAAGACATTTAAACTCAAGTCCTGAAGAGACTAATTTCTTCCCCAGAGTAAATCTCTAATGAAGAAGGAAAAAGAGAGCCATTGCAGAGGACACAGGTTAAGTTCTTTTTCCCCAAATGCATTTTTCTGAAAGTCACTGAACTCTATCAGAAACAACCTCTACAGAGTTATAGTGACCAAAAAAAAAATGGCACTGACATAATATTTAACTGTCACTTCCAAACTCAGTTATCAAGTGTTTCATAAACTTGACTAACTCGTTAAAAATAAAAAATGTAGGAAGACAGTTTGGTCTGGTGGAGGGCCGTTTTGGAAGTCCAAGCCAGTCTCTCCACCTCACTGAGTGTTCTTGGATTAGTCCTTAACTTCTGTATGCCTCAGTTCCCGCCTCTGTAAAATTAGGATAATATTAGTACCCACCTCATAAGACTGAATAGGACTGAATGGATAATGTCTGTGAAACACTTAGCACACAGCCTGCACTTAATAAGAACTAAACAATTATAGCAGCGATAATAATAGCTATGACAGTGAAACTACTGAGAACAGAGGCTCTGTTTATGGAAAGAGGTAGATTAGTTGGTACTTAAACACTAAGATATTCAGACTAGCTTCTCTTTGGGAAAGAGCAGAAGCAGTTTATACCAGTCCCCTGTGTAAGTGTTAGATGTTATGTAAAGACTATTGCAAACAGCACTCACAAGGCCAAGAATGGCTGGACAAGAGTGCATGGCACAGGTACAGTTTACTGCATGTGCACATACACACTCCTGGCACTGTGCAAGTTAGAGCCTGAGATGCTTCTTGGGCTTTTAAAGATTCTGTGCTGCTCTAATTGTTTAGTTACCTACAACTGAGTGACCATGTGTCCCAGGTTGCCCCAGACATTCAAGGCTTAAGCTACTTGTCCCAGCATCATTATTAATAGCCCCTCATTCTCAAGGGGGCTCTGATTTTGGACAATAATGTGGATGATTACCCTATAAAACAAAACCATCCCTGTTTATGTAAACTTCCCTGTTTTCGAATCCAGTGGACAGTCTCACAGAAACAATACTGATACATTTCTAAAGCTCTTGGTCACAGTCTGCAAAGGAGCCTGAGGACTGTGGACAACTGGACATATGTTTGTAAACAGCTTCAAAGGGGAATGAATGTGGTTTAACACGGAGAACAGTACCAGCAATCAAGGGTTTGTATTTAATATTTACAAGTAAAAGTAAATGTTGAAGAAAGAAAGCAAACCCTAACAATCCTGGGATCATTTTTCCTTTATCTTTCACAACATGGAGGCACAAGAAGTCAACAACTTTTAACTTCTGAGAAGGCTCCCTGTGGATCAACTCAATCAATGTATCTGGGCTCCAGTCAGCCCCAACATGGGCTTTATTTATTAGAGAGATAAATAGCTCTGTGAGTTCACAACATGGTGAAAATGTTCTTAACAAAAACCACACACTCTTTAATTGGCTTCGAAGTTAGATGAAGAAATAAGTTTTAATATTGGCATTACATTGAATACTTTTCAAGAGTTCAGAAATGTTAGTCTGCTTAATCTCCCCTTAAGACCTCAGAAGCACTGCAAAGGGAATTATGTTTATGAAAACATTAAAACTGATTTTTCCCAATGTAACAACAACCATGTATCCTTACGCATTTGTAGTGTTGCCACTTTTTTCTTTATCTTTCGTCAGAACTTGTGTTTATACAAATCAGACAGAAACCAGATTCAACAAACAGCTAAAAATTATTTACTCACATGCTTGGTTTAAAACATTCTGGTATCATACCACACCACACTGAAAAACATCACGACGTACTGTATGTAGTCGAACCAAATAAATACACTAAAGAGTATTTTCCAGTATTCGCTGTTACAAAATCATAACATCCCATGATACAAACAACGAGATTGTATAACGTCCCCACATCGTTTTTTCAGAACTAGCAAAAAAAAAAAAAAAAAAAAAAAAAGGTGGAGAAACTCAGCAAAACAAAGTGGCGAGAAAAGTCGGGGGAGGGGCGGTAGAAGAGAAGGGGCGGAGAAACACGACACCGAGGCGGTGATATCACCCACAGCCAACGGCATGGAATTCAGAAAGTTAAGTGTCACCCAGCAATTTCGGTGCGGGCTCGCGGCGCGCCTGCACAGCGTGGCGGCTGCACCCCGGCGAAGCAGGAAGGGGGAGGGGGAGGCCTGACTGAGTTCGCTCGGGGGCAGCGGAGGGGAGGGCCGCCCGCCTCCCGGACGGCGCGCGTTCGAGTCCCGGGTCGGGAGCCTTGTCAGTCGCCCGACAATGATTTCATCTTTTCGGAAGCGCTACCGCCTGGGCCGCGGCTGCCACGTGCCCGGTCTGGCCCCGTGCGCTGCGCCGGGGGACCTACCCGGACGCGGCCGCGGCCGCCGCTGGGCGCAGAGGCAGCAGAAGAAAAGGGCTGGCGGCCGGGAGGGAATCCGGGTGGCCAAAACTGGGCTAGGGGATTGCTCCGCGGAGTCCGCCGGCCTCAAGCGGCTGCCCTGAGCAGTGCACCCACCCTCCGCGCCCAAAGGAGGAAAGGCCAGAGCGCGGGGCAGGTTTCGCAACTCCGAGGGTGGATGCAGGCTGTGGCCGGGCGGGATGGCGCGGCCGTGCCTTTCCAGCGCCCCCGGCCTGGCAGAGCCCCATTCTCGGCCTGCGCCCCGCCGCGCAGTGCGCGCTCCCGGCGGCGTGACCGTGGCTGTCGGGCCCCCGCCCGAGCCGGGCAGCCGGCCACCCGTGTAAGGGACAGTGGCGGCCGCGGGGCCCGGCGCCGCGCCGCTTGCAGCCCGCCACTCCTTCCGCGCTCCGGGCCCTCTGCGCCTCCTCCCCCGGCCCTGGAGAAATGCTTGTACCTTCCACCGCCTCCTCCACCATCTCGTCGTCGCTATCCATGGCGGCTGGGGACCCTGCCCAGCTCGGGGCTGCGCGGCTGCCTCCCGTCCCTCCGGGTGCTCCTGGCTGCTGAGCGAGCTCTGGGGCTCGCGAGTTTGGAGGAGGAGGAGGAAGAGGAGGAGCAGTCGGGGCTGGCTCGCACTGCCTCCCCCTACAGCCCTTTCAATTCCTTGGCCTTCAGCTGCTGCGGCAGCAGCCGTCGTCCCCCCTCCCTTCGCCCACTTGCCCCTCGCCTCGGAGGCTCCGGTGTGTCGCCTTGGCCGCTGCAGCTGCTGCAACTTTCTCCTGTAATACCCCCTCTTTGTTATCGAGCAGCTGATCCGCTGACATCACCCAGCGCCGGTGCGCTCCCTCCCTCGCTGATTGACAGTTCCCTGTCCCTTTCCAGAAGTAAGGCTCCTTAAAACGAAAGGAGCTCCGGGGCCGAGCGTATTCCGCGTCCCAGCCAACCCGCCTCTGGCCCGTGAGCGTTTCTCCTTTGCTTAGGCGCGGCTTGGCGCGCCCCGAGCGCGCAACGCGGTCCCGGGCGCTGCAGGCTTCTTCCGGACACTTGGACGGCCCGTGGGGGCTCCGAGCTCCCGGCCTCCAGTTGTGCCGGGAGCAACTTGAAAGTCCGCCGTGCACTGTCCGTGCCCCCTCGAGACAACCTCCAAAGTGCCAGGGAAGCTAAGGAAGCGTTTCTGACGCTCTGGCGCCTGGACTTCCTCTCACCCTCGCCCCCACATCACCCCGTTCGCCACCGGGAGCTGCACGAGTGCGACACGCACCGGAGCGCAGGTGTCCTCGCGGTCCCGCATCGCATCCGCAAGCCGATTTCCCGAGCTCGGGGGCTGTTATCTGGCCCGGATTCCGCAGGATGGCGGGTCCACCCCAGCGCCCCCACTCCCCGCCCTCCTTCGGGTCGCCAGGCCCTCGGGTGATTCAGAAATGCATCAAATCCAAATGGCAGCGGGCTCTCTGTCAGGCAGGAAACAAGCCGCACCGAAGGCTCGGCAGGTTCCTTCTCGCGGCTGTGGTAATTGAAAAGGAGCCGCCGAGTGGAGCTAACGAGGAAGGAAGGACCCTCCGTCTGGCGCGCCTCTTTCCCGCGCCTCCCGCCCTGTAAGTGCGATGTCCCCAGCTGTCTCCCTGTTTCTCCAAGTGCCAACCACTTCACAGATTCAGGCGTCCTCAAGTGGAGAAAACCACTGGGCACCCGGCTTCCGGCCCAGCCACTTAGTGTCATTATGGCGCTGCCTCTTACAGGTGGCGGTAAAGGACGACTGTAAATAGCCGATTAAATAGATGCAAATGTACACAATGTACCGTGGAATTACCGGGTGCCACTCTGGGCACCTGCCAAGAACAGCTACTGCATGGAGGGGAGGAGGGAGCAAAAAAAAAAGTAGTTCCATTTTGCTTTCTGAACAATGAATGAGACTTTGGGGATTTCAAAATACTTCCAGCGCCCGGGAGACTACTCCTTGTTTTTGGCTCTGTGCTTAAATGGTAGATATTTTTGTCAAGTATTGCCGGCTTGTTTCTTAAAGGCAGTTTTTCCTCTGTGAAAAAGAGAACAATGCTAGGAACATTAGTACCACACACTTCCAGGAATTTCAGCCCCTTTGACTATTTTAGAAAGGGGAGGGCCCTGGACCAGAAGTTAGGAGACTTTGAGTCCTGGTGCTGCTCACCTGCAGAGGTGTCTTGGGAGCCCAGCCAGCCAGCCTGAATTCCTCCAGATTAGAGAGAGGCTTAGTCTACATTGACATAAGGTCCTTGGGGCTTAGGCTAGACCACTCAGGTTCTCTGGCTCAAGCAAGACACCCTCTAGCTTAGTCTACACCTCTCTGAAGTCTCTTGGCTTAGGTTTGACCTCCTTAAAGTCCTCCAGTGCAGATACTGGGAGTCCAAGGCTAAACAGAGAAGGTGTACCTGCAGTGGAAGATGAAAGAGCCGCTTTAGGTTACATCATTTTCAAACATGAACCACAGAAACAGGATTTTATATCTGATTTTTAAAAAGCTATCATTTACTGAGCTCGGTCACTCACTGGTTTTGAATTATATATTTTTTCTTATTTAACCTTTTTACATATCACCTCCTCCCTTGCATATTATACTGGTGCACTAGAACATACCAGATACTTCCCCAGTTTCCAGTTGATTTTCAGGGGTGAATACAATGCTGAAAGCTAAAGAAAGCAGCAAAAATACTTCATTCTCTTACTCAAAGGGGGTGAGGCAGGGTTGGGAGGCTGGAAGAAATCTCCTCTCCAGACGCACAGAAGACACAGGTTCGTGGTGGGTGGGTCCGTGTGGGAGTGAAGGAGAGGGGAGGAATCATGTTGCAAGTGTCCAACTGTCCCCTTGGTGCTGTGAGGTTTTCCCAGCCTAAGCACCCAAACTGTCAAGCGCTCCCTTTCTATCTACTACCTTGAGAACACCTGAAACCCTGCCTACGGCCCCCATGGGTGAAGCAGAGATTTCCTCCGGACCTGCAAGAGGCAGGGACAGAAAGGGAGCACGGTCCTTCTAGCAAAGTTAGTAGTGATGGGGGGGGGGAGGAACTACCAGAGGACCTTCACCAGATCTGCACATGACTCAGGCAGCAGCAGGGACACAGTTCCATCCCTCTTCCCCCACCATTCATTCCTGCTGGCTCTGGGCCCAAAGCTAGGGCAAAATGTTTTTATGACTCTCTTAAGATCCACTTGTACCTTTACAAATCATGTTGTGTATATTTCAGTCTCCTTCTCTAGACGGACTGATTCTTATTTATGGTCCTAGAACACAACACAGTGCCTGGTACAGAATGTGGGTTAAGCATTGTCAGCAATGATTTTGCAGATAGGAATATTCTGTTTTATATAAACAGTGCTGAGTCTTTCTCACAGACTGGATTCTCCTCCTGTGTTTTGGCAAAGTGCTTTGTTTCAGTTCAAATCTGAAGAGCATTTTTGAGTTGTTCTACTTTCCCACATCGACTGGCCCCAAATCTGCTTCCATCGCATTCTTTCCCACAGTTTTCTTCATTGAGAGCTGATTTCATAAACTCTCTTTCTTATTGGCTTTCCACCAGTTTCCCCTGTCGTACTCTGTCCCCACCAATGTGGTCATGGGCTAGAAAATCAATAAAACTCTTCATCACAAACAATGTGCAGCAGCAGCGGCAGCAGCAGCGGTGTGGCTCAGCTCCTAACTTGGCAGCTCCCAGTGAGACAGAACGAGCTCTACTGGGGAGGAACAGGACTGCACAGGACATCCAACATCTAGGCTGGGTGAGAGTTGCTTTTGTGTTCACATCAAGAGTGACTTTTTTTTTTTTTTTTCCTGTCTCTGGTCTTGAATCAGGAGGAGGGGTGACTTTTCTAAGCTGCTCTGGCTTAGTTTCCATTGCCTCCAAGGCTGGATTCCTTCTCTTCATACCCAGCTTGGGAAACATAAGTCCTTCTTCCACTGCAGCAAGCAGTCAAAATACTGAGTTAATTTTATTCATTCTACCACCCCTGTCTTTCCCTGGAGAAGGCTGGTGCTTACATACAAGACTGATATAACTTTTGCAATAAATATATTTTTACAAGCTTCTTGTATTTTATGCACCTTCCTACATTTAGGGGAAACAATTCTGTCAATTCGCTGCTATGCATGCTAAGCGAATTGTGAAACAACTAGTGAATGTGGAACTTGTGTGGGATTCACTACTGTTGGCTGTTACTGACTCTTCATCCTGCCCGCTGGCAGGGACTGGAGGGGCCCAAGCAGTCTTCTGGGTCTCCATGTATTTGGGAGGGAGAAGCCTCTGAGACCTCAGCAGTAGGAAGTCGCATCAGGGCCTCTCCAGGTGGCCTGGTGACTTTATGGTTGTTGACCTGGCTCTGGTTTCCACCACTTGCTTACACCACCAGCAGGAAGACAAGGATAGAACTAGTGAAAGAGCTTTTAAATAATCATCAAGTCTCGTTTTGGCACTACTCACTACTTCACAATATTTTTTCCCACCAAATTAGCCAGTTTGATTGAGTTTTTACTTTGTTTTGGTTCCACCAAGAACTAGCCAAGCAACTGGGCAATTCAGTTCTCAGGGCCTTCGTTTTCCCATTTGTAAATGAGGAGTTGGGCTACATAAATTCGAAGCTCAAACTTTCTCTGTCACCTTTTCTGGAGGAAAGGTAAATAGAGCCTGAGGAGCCCCAGGAAAAGGCACATAAAAAGGAAACAGGAAGAAGCCAGGGCAACTCTAACAAACTGAATACTCAAGTCCTCTCACTTTAATGGCTCTATCTGGGCAGGCGGGTGAGGGGAGAACCTTTATCTTGACTCTAGGGAGGGAAGCATGGAAGTTTTAGGAGAACCAAGGTTCCTGGGTTCTGAATCACTGAGTCACTAATCAAGTGGCTAACTGTGTTAGTGACAACTGCAGAAACTGGAGGGAGGGGCTGGGAGAGGAGCAGTGAGGAGGAGACCGGTGGGGGAGGAGATGGGGATGAAAGGGAAGCGTTTGCAGCTTGTAGAGCACTGGGAAGAGCAGGGACATCAAGGGCACCAAATAAAGGTCCAGGGAGCAAAGAAAGAAATGGAGAAAATTCATTCTGCTGGAAATAGACATGACTGCAGTCAGGAAGAAGACTTACAGATTCAGGGTGACCTGATTTGATTACAGCAACAGGAAGTGCAGGAGAGAGAGAGGGCAGAATAACCTGACCTAAGGAAGTGAATTAAATAATAGAGAAGACACTACAGTTGCCATGGTATTAAAATACCTCATGCCACATTAAGCTTCCTCTTTCTCTTTTGCTTGATTCTTGTTTTTGCAACATGTTAATGTCATTGCAGTGTATCCAGTAAACTAAATTTAGACTTTCTGGGGCGGGTGGGGGGAAGGGAAGATGCAGCCCAGATCTCCCTGTTTGGGTCAACTCTGGGCCAATATTGTTCCTTCAGAGAGTTCTTGGGGTTTTTTGCATTATGGGATATGAAAACTTTTATGTCAGGCTTGGGCCTAGTGAAGCTGCTGAGTGAAATGATTTAAAAAAAAAAAAAAAAAAATGAGGCCAGGCGTGGTGGCTCATGCCTGTAATTCCAGCGCTTTGGGAGACAGAGGCAGGTGGATTACCTGAGGTCAGGAGTTCAAGACCAGCCTGGCCAACATGAGGAAACCCTGTCTCTACTGAAAATACAAAAATTACAAAAATACAAAAATTGGTGGTGCATGCCTGTAGTCCCAGCTACTCGGGAGGCTGAGGAAGAAGAATCACTTGAACCTGGGAGGCGGAGGTTGGAATGAGCCGAGATGGCACCACTGCACTGCACTCTAGCCTGGGCCACAGAGTGAGACTCCGTCTCAAAAAGTAAAAAATAAAAAAAAACACACACACATACACACACACACACAAAAGAAACATTGGAAATAGTTTTCAAAGGGGCATCTGTTTTAGAAATTACTTCAGAAAAACAATAGGATTGCAGAAATTTGAAAAATAAAGACAGCCACCAACAAAACCAAATGTGTTTTCTTAGGTATTATTTTCTCAAACTGCTTTTGAAAAATTACTGGGCTAAAATTAAGATGATTGGGTCCTGCAATTGGTAGTCTGCAAAAGCAGACATTGCAGAGGGCAGGTACAAGGTACACTCTTTTGACACTACCATACCCAGGAGGGGCAGAGGAGTATTTCCAGCTGACCTATTTACCACAAATGTCACAACATTCATCAAGGGTCAGCTCTTGACCTTCCTCGAGTGGACTCACATTAACTAGACACTGAGAGACAGAGATGTATACCTGAATGATGATGGACAGATCAGAATACTCACATCGTCAGGGCAAAAGGTCTCTCTATGTAAATAAATGCACTTGAGAAGACAAATTCCATCCGAAAGTTTGCTTAGTTATCTGGAGTAGAATGAATGACATTCGTTGTGTGGTCGACAAGACAAATACTCCTGATACAGTGTTCTGAAAGAATGAGGTTGCTCACCCATCCCACTCACCCCTGCTTAGATGGCCCTGTGGCTTCTGAGGCTTCAAGCTTCTTTCCCCGTGCTCTAGTTTCTTCAAACCTGTTTCTCCACACAGCATCCTGTACAGCCCACTAGGCAGATTTACACTAAGTCATAATAACATTCTCTATCTTCCTGGCATTATAGCCAAGTCACTTTAATGGGAATTTGAGGTAATCCTCAAACTTTTCAGTCACAAATTGAGTCACTCTCTTGGTTTATGCCCACTGAATTCTAGCCAAAACCATTGGGTG